ACCCGTCACAACATTCTCTATAGGTCGGCTTATTTACACAGGTAAATGGAAGAGGATGTCAGCTTAAGTTTCTACATTAGGGGTAGTTACTATAAGTGGTTGTCATTTTGTAGCTACTGGCTACAGCCAGAAGTCAAGGCGATCGCTGAGAAAGCAGAGAGAAGAAAAATAAATGTCTTGTTTTACCTACTTACACTGACTTACTGAGACTGGCTATGCTTTTACGGAATGTAGGAGTTGTTAGTCCCTGTATTTTTAAACTCAAATCCCGTGTAGAAATTCAGATAAAAATACTCCCGAGGAAAACAGCACGTCATCGTAAAAATCACTATTTTTTAGTCTGGAAGCTATTTGCATTATCTGCCTGAATGACCTTGTAAAACAAACACTTTTTTCCATTTGGATCAATACATCTTTAGATCTTGTGTACGGTCCCGCATCATACCAACACATTTTATCTAAGTACCTCACTGTCATATGCTTTCAGGCCCGAGAATAAAACTTACGGGAAAAGAAGAAATTTATTTTTATTGATAAAAAAGCCAAAGTAAACGAACGCTTTCAAAGTACAATGTATATCAGTTACACGGTTAATAGAGAGGATCAATCAATATCAACATATGTAATAACTATTACCAGTTGGGTAACATACAAATGTACATGTAACAATACGGTTCATGCCACATTTTATACAGATGCAATGATGGAAGAAGAGTCTACCGTTTTATCAATCCAATAACGTTCCCATGTGGTTCGGCAGTCATTGCGTAGCTTAGGGACAGGAGTCCCCCGTCTGACCAATTAAAACCGCGAGGAAGGCAATGTTTGGGAAAGTTCCAGAAACGAGGTACATTTTAGAGTTATCAATGTTCCTTTAAAATGATTTCAAGTCATTTTCTTTTAATATTTTATAAGTAGATATCTAATCATGAATCAATCCCAACGATGCAACTTACATATAATGTCTACGTTTCAGTTATGACGTCTGCAGTTCGTTTGTACATTTAAACTGGTAGAATACGTTATCAATGCTAGTAACATTAAGGATCTTAAATTTGGTAAATGTTTTTGTTTATATAAAAACCTCATTTACTACTCAACAACTCGACACACTTTTGAGAGCAACCATCAGTCACAGTTGGAGAGTACGCTAATGCAGTCTAGTTGGGAACATGAAATGCTTTGAGCACGAATCTTAATATCAGCGAATTGCTAGCCATTGCTGCAGACGTGAATCGCTTTAGTAACATTCATGTTGATCATTTACTGTCTTTTGTACAGACTTTTAATAAACCTACCTATTTGTTCTCAAAACAAAATACCAAGGCATATTCAACAATGGACGTTTCCGATAAGAAACTGTAAGATATTTTAATTACACATTTTGAGATTTATTATCTAAACCTATGTTTAAAATACAAATACAAATACATGTAGTAAAATATGGGATTTATATCAATAATCTTGTTATCTGTATTTGATTATTTTTGTATTATAAATATTGTGACATTTATTGAAAATCGTGTGCCGAATGTTTAAATTGGTGTTGTTTATACTAAAATGTTCTGATGGATATTAGACATTAATTTTTTTCTGCTTTTCTTTTTCCTCTTAATCAATTTTGTGACATGTTGATCCTCGATCCATAATTCTGAAAATTGCGGTATTAATACCGACAATGACATGCTGTTGTAACAATAATACACAACGCTGATGTATCTAGGGTTCAGATTTTTTGATATTTGAAAACTATATGTATATAACATGAACAAAGGCGGCTTGCCTCGCAATAATAATAAAATAATAATCACAACCTAGTTCGTAGGTCGTCTCAAAGCGGTTCACAAATTATTAACCGGGATTATAGGGCCTTTGCAATCAGCCAATATCTGTCTCAACTCCCTGGGGAGCATACAGCCGGAGCTGCCATTGCGGCGCTAACAGCTAGCATTCTACAATTCTAGCGCTGCCAAACCACGTACTCGTTTATATCTAAATAGACTGGAACAAGCAAGCTATTATTAATTATACATATCAAATATGTAATTTTCCTTTATTTTGGTTTCTAATCATGCTTTTGACGATATCATAGGGTGTAGATTCAGTTGGTATTGGGACAAATTTAAAGAACGGCAAAGAAGATTTTAAAACAATGTTATCGGTCATTTAGTTTTAAAGTGTTTTTAATCATCATTATCTATTTATCGATTGCGCGTTATTGTTCACGATTAGATATGTATCGTATACATGTAACACTGAAATACCTTAGTTTTAGAACCTAAAAATCAAAAGAGGATAAAAACGAATCCTTTATTTATCTGTTATATCAATTACAAGCTGCTTAAAGCATTTGAAATGATATCGCATTGACAAGCGTCAAATATGAATATAAATTGTGTTTTAACCCATCACAGATAGATTTTACATCACCATTTGAGTTCACAGTGCTATGAACGCAACTTCAAGTTACTAAAGATTGGTTCAATTAGCGAACATGCAACGTCAGTGTACAATATAACCACGTCTATTGACTTTTTGTTTGTTACTAGTCTTCATAATAAGATTGACCACACACCACATGACGGCAGAGAGGTAAATATAACATCGTCATAAAATCTTACTTATGTACCAACCCTTTATCTTACTTTAAACAAAACTAATTTTAAACATGTTTTTTTTAAATTAACACCGACATAAAACGATATGGATTATTTTATTGAAAGCCATTCTGAAATGCTGATGTATGTTTATTTGTCAGACCAATTAGTGTGTTAGCACCGTCTGTGTTACAGGGGGACACACCTACCTATTGTCAGACCAATTAGTGTATTAGCACCGTCTGTGTTACAGGGGGACGCACCTACCTATTCACACTAATACATTGATTAGGAGTGTTCTCATTAGTATGGAAACTACAAACGTACGGGTATATCTACAGACTCCTAATCATTCCTAATTAAATCACGTACAGGGCTCTGTTCCAGACAATCCTAACAATTCCAGATGATAGGGCGGTACATTTGTTTAAATTTGCTACGATTCTTCCTTGCATAATAAACGTAACACATATAAATGACGGTGAAGTTGATTAATTCATTGAAATTCCGAAAATTAGTATTTTTCAATCCTTATCTGTGTACATTTTAATGTTCGTGTCCTAACAGTTTTGTAAATTCTTGAATGCAAATAAGATTAACATCACTTTCAATTAGTCCGTGATTACTGGTCTTAATTGATCATTTGTTGGAGACGGATACGTGTATTCAATACTCTTAACTAGTTCATGTCTGATATACGACCAATATCAGTTATGCGATGAATAATTTACTTGGACGAATATAGGATAATGCCTTAAGTGATGATCAGAATCCAATATACCGTAAATCTTAGATCAATTCTGCGGTTTACCATCAAAACTAGATATTCTGTCGATAGGTTTCCTTATGATGATCCAAAAGAACAAACTATGATAAAGCAAACGTAGACAATATCAGATGTTGTTTTGTCAAAGTGTTTTCTCCTGTTTTTTTTAAATTCTCTTTGACAATCATTTAACGTTTAAGTTGGGATTGATAAAATACCTAGTAACTGAATCGAATGGAAGCTAACTGTTAATACTTAGAAAACTAAAATTTTGTTTTTCGATAGGCTGGTTAGGCTCGAGATAATGAACATTGGTTATATGATGGTGAAAATATAGAAGTTGTTGAAGAATTTAATTATATAGGATTATTATTCAACTATAACGGAAAATTTACTAAGACTCAGCATAAGCTGTCTGGGCAAGGTCGAAAAGCAATGTTTGCACTTAACTCAAAGACACGGACGTTTTATTTTAATGTACAAACTATGTAATCATTATTCAGAACTTATGTAAGCCCAATTCTCAATTATGCAAGCGAGCTCTGGGGATTTTATTGTGCCAAGGATATTGAAAAAGTACAAGTGCATTTTTTAAAGCAAGTGTTAGTGGTGAAGCGAAGTACAGCTAATAACATGATCTATAAGGAATTAGGAGTATATCCACTGATTACAATAAGAAAGTTGAGAGTGTTCAAATTTTGGTTGAAATTAGTACATAGTCAGAATTGTATTATGACTGAAATATCTAATGATCTTATGGAAAGGTTGAATGTTAGTGATAAATATAACTGGTTGATGAGAGATATTAAAAATGAACTGTATACTATGGAACTGGGTTATATCTGGGACACCCAGGTGACAATAAATGTAAAACATGCTTTGGATATTATTAAACAAAGACTTTTTGATTGTTGTGTACAAGAAATAAGGAGTCATATAGCTGAATCGACCAAATGAGGTATGCATAGACACCTAATATGTGCACAAAGTTTTGATATGAAAATTTATCTCAGAAAACCTTTCCAATTCAAGTACAGAAAAGCTATTACGAAACTCAGAATGTCCAGTCATCAGTTAGAAATTGAGCAAGGTAGATATATAAATGTACCAAGGAGTTTAAGAATCTGTAAATTATGCAATTTAGATATTGAGGACGAATACCAACCACTTTGTGCTTAAATATCCTTCTTTTCAGATACTTAGACATACTCACATGAAAAAATATTATTGGTCAAAACCTAGCGTGTTAAAATGCATCAGTCTTTTGAACTCTAGCAATACATCTGAATTATGCAAATTAGGAAAGTTTCTGCAGAAAGCATTTATGTTGAGAGAGAATCTGAAAACAAATTTAAATGTATGAACCAACAACAATGCGTTCTCCTGCAATACATTATTTTTTATTAACTTTTCTTTAACTAGTATATCATTTATGATGTACATTCATTCAAATACATGTCACTTATTTTATATCTAGTAAATCATTCATTTAAAATACATGTCACCAAATTGTTTACACATGCAAACTGCCGCCCTGGCAAGCATGTATTGTATATGTTCGAATTGTATTAATATCCTGTACCTATAAGTTGTAAACGTTTGGAAATAAAATGAACATTGAACATTAAACGACTTACCTGTCTTTGTAACGTCACACACGAACGGTTTTCTCCGAAATTTTGTCCGACACCTCCAATCACTCCATGCCTCGCTCACACAATATCACCTGTTGTAACAACGCGGGAATTCCTGTAGGACTATTGAAAACATTGATCTAATAGCCAGCAATGGGGCCTAAACACTCACTTAGGTGCGAGAGAATTTACCTAATTTCAAATATTTATTATGAACCAATCACAGCTTCATAACTCTTAATATGTCATGTGTGGTGATTTTTTCACTTAAACATCCTTAGAGACCACTTGGTTTACAGTACACAAACAAGCTACACTTTTCATTTATATCCTATTTCAAATATTTTCTTTGGCAATGCCAACAAGCATTTCGAAAGACATGCGGCCTTCGATGTACTGCCCGGTATAACAATAAGCTCAGCGGAAGCCTCTACCCAGTATAACGATTAAATCACACGCTACTTGTTCACGACTACGACCGCAGACGCTCACTGCTGATACCGATGCAAACCTTTCGCTTTAACACCAGTCTCCGCAACTCAACGGAATCAGCTACGTTTGATCGGATTGACCATAAGACATGCAGACTTAACGTGCACAGAGATCAAGCGAGCGATGTAACCGGCGTTGATATTGGAATCTGTCAGTGGGGCATAGATAGGGCAAATCTTCTGGTACTGATCGCGGACAGGCCAGGGATTGTTACACACAGTCGGGGCAGGACAATGATGCGAAAACCACAAGAGATAATACTGCGAAATAGAATAATTATTGTGAAGTGTTACAGTAGGATAAAATAACAGTAAGACAATACGTTAAATATTTATAGCAAAGAATTATTGTAGTATAGTGCAATAATTCGGCTTAGAAGGATGACAGAAACGTAAAAAAATATTACACAAGAAGGGTTCAAGTATGCTACAATAATTGTAGAATAAAACTGAACATCGTTATACTGTGGACATCGTCATACTGTGAACATAGTTATACGGGTTCCAGTGGGGTACAGGAAAACAGTACAGAGAGGTATGGTACAAGTGTATATACATGGTGATATACACGTAATCGCAGTCCAAGAAATTCAGTATCTGAGAACGGTATATTTTTTCATATATGTGTTTATGAAGAATCTCCTTAAGATGGCGAAAGTGCTAAAGACATGTTAAACAGTGTCCGTGTATAATGAACAAATCAACAGGGCTACTAGTGCTTCCATCAATTTAAGTGTTCATCACACAACTCAGATAGACATTGTATACATACACAGAGAGTACATGGGACAAGACAGTAGTTCCAACAGTGTAGACAAAATGCGGTTATCAAATATTTGGAGAATATATACTTAAATATATCATGTTCTTATTGTCCGGTAGATTTGTGACGTCATAATATACTTTATCCCCTTTATTCATGACGTTGGAAACATGCATCACACTTAATGTAAATGCAACACTAAATATATTCTTTTAGGTGTCGTACAAGTGAACTAAGGGTAGATATACCTGGAATAAAAAAAACCAACACATATGCAAAACAACCGAAAGCGATGAAATAATTGTTCGAATGACTAATGGCTTGGCACAACGACGAGCTCTCTTATAATGGTACATGTACAATAGAATGAAATCAAGGAAGCAATATAAGTTGACGTCATAATCTGCTTCAGACAGAAGGATACATTTGCAAATCAGAAATAAATCAAATTACAATAGATAACAATCATTGTTTTGCAATATGTTATCTTAAAATAGACTCATTTGATACGCTGATGTTATGCAAGAGAAGTTGCAATCCTCGATATACTTCTGAATATTAAGCCCTTAGAGCAAGCCTCGGGGTTAGATAATCACGAATGGCCTGTCCGAGGGTGAGAGACCTTGCACAAAAGCATCTTAATATAGCTTAAAATTTGGCGTAAAATAGTATTTGTTTTTTGGAGAGTAGAAAAAAAATGTAACCATCATCCCACAGGACATTTATTTTTAATTGACAGGCCCCGGCAAGCCTCGTGTTTGACATATTTGGATGTTACATATAGTTCTAAAACCTAAATCACGCGAGTTCATCGTCGATGAGAGAGGGTAAGATTGTGGCTTGGTAATATTTAAATCTCCTGTTCTTGATATGGATGTAGATTGACATTACCTTCAAGTGGTTGTCGCAGTATCTTGATAAAAAAACACACCTCTCAATTATATTCATGTAAGCAAATCTGTATGCAGAGATTAAGCAACTATGTTTCGCCAAATCTCCGCATCGCCAATATATTGTTCAAGATCATCAGCTGATGTCAATATGGATATGATATTTTGCTTTTGAACGACGTTAAGACAAATCACATTCTTACTATTTTCAACACATTAATGTCAATCCAACATATACTGTTATTGACTTCAGTAACCTTACAGTTTTACCATTGTAATATGCGCAGCTGCAGACAAGAAACTCGTACTTCTGCTAATTTAAGCAGACCCAACTCATAATTTCACCATCGTAAGAAGCGGCTGCCAGCCAAAACATGAATCTAATGCAAAAATTAGGCAAAAGTCAAATCAACTTCATCTAGTCAAAATGTAGATCTGATCTTAACTTGAAAGTACCAAATAGTCGGTATTATGATGTAAATGTAAATATGTATTAATTAAGTGTATGGTATTCACCAGTATATGACGTAAATGCTGTACGAGCATAACCTAAATAACACCTTCACATGTAATATATGGTGAAGATTTCCGGACTAGAAATAAAAATCGTCATAACAAGTCACTATCACAAAAGACGTCGCCCAACCATCGTGGTTCAGCCCTAGATATACTATGGAAATTGTCGTTGAATCGGATTTACATTGTAAAGTTGAATCAGTGCACGTCTACATTAATAAACAATTGTATTTGATCATTTTGAAATAGCTAAAACTATCCTTTTGGTGGTTGAAATATACTGGCTCTACAGGAACAGCGAGAGAATGTATTAGGATCGGCCGTTGAACTAAGCCCCGTCGACCTCGAAGTCTAAATCACTGTTATACGTTTGGTGTTTGTTGTTCTGGGAGGCACGGGTTCCACTTCCGCTATCCGAGAGATACCTGGTGTCAGACCTAAGTAGAGTGAGTTTCAACTATCCTGCAAGTGAACAGAGAGAGTAAACAGAAAAAACGTTAAGTCTTAATACAGCACAAACCAAACAACGGCATTGTAAATGTACATACACGTAGAGCAAAGTCAGGTTATCCAGGACAAAGCTACAGTCAGACACACCGAATTAAAACAAAGGCCACAGACAACACACATAGAACACAGAACTCACACAACACACTGAGAACACAGAACACAAACAACACACATAGAACACAGAACACATACAACATACATAGAACACAGAACACATACAACATACATAGAACACAGAACACAGACAACATACATAGAACACAGAACACACACAACATACATAGAACACAGAATACAAACAACACATAAAGAACACAGAACACATACAACATACATAGAACACACACAACATACATAGAACACAGAACACAGACAACATACATAGAACACAGAACACATAAAACATACATAGAACACAGAACATATACAACATTCATAGAACACAGAACACACACAACATACATAGAAAACAGAACACACACAACACACATAGAACATATAACACACACAACATACATAGAACACAGAACACATACAACATACATAGAACACAGAACTCATACAACATACATAGAACACAGAACATATACAAAGTACATAGACAACAGAACACACACAACATATATAAAACACAGAACACACACAACATATATAGAACACAGAACACATACAACATAAATAGAACATAAAACACACACAACATACATAGAACACAGAACACACACAACATACATAGAACACAGAACATAAACAACACATATAGAACACATACATAGAACACAGAACACACCACACACAACAAACATAGAACAAAGAACACACACAACATACATAGAACACAGAACACATACAGCATACATAGAACACAGAACACATACAACATACATAGACCAGAGAACACACACAACATACATAGAACAAAGAATACACACAACATACATGGAACAGAGAACACAGACGACATACATGGAACAGAGAACACACATAACATACATGGAACAGAGAGCACATACAACATACATGGAACAGAGAACACACACAACATACATAGAACACAGAACACACAACATACATAGAACAAAGAACAAACACAACATACGAGGAACAGAGAACACATACAACATACATGTACATAGAATATAGAACATAAACAACATGCATTCAACACAGAACAAACACAACATACATGTACATAAAACACAGGACACACAAAACATACATAGAACACAAAACACACAAAATATATAAAACGTAGAACACAACCAACATACATATAACACAACACACACAACATACATAAATCACAGAACACACACAACATACATAAAACACAGAACACAACCAAGATACATAGAACTTAAGACACATACAACGTACAAAGAACACAGAATATACACAACATACATGTACATAGAACACATAACACACAACATGAATATAACACAGAACACACACAACTTTCATATAACACATAACACACACAACATACATAGAACACGTAACACACACAACATACATAGAACACATAACACACACAACATACATAGAACACGTAACACACACAACATACATAGAACACATAACACACACAACATACATAGAACACAGAAAACAAACATTATACTTAAAACACTGAACACACACAATATAACTGAATAAATACTTCATATACAGAGCAATGATTTAATAAACAGAACACTAACAACATACATAGAACACAGAACACACACAACATACATAGAACACAGAACACATACAACATACATAGAACAAAGAACACACACAACATGCATGTACATAGGACACAGAACACACACAACATACATACAACATAGAACACACACAAAGGACATAGAACACAGAACTTAGACGCAACGTACATATAACACAGAACATACACAACATACATGGAACAGAGAACACACACAACATACATAGAACATAGAACACACAACGGATATAGGACACAGAACGCACACAACATACATAGAACATAGAACATACACAACGGACATAGAACACAGAACTCGCGCAACGTACATAGATCACAGAAAACAAACATTATACTTAAAACACTGAACACACACAATATAACTGAATAAATACTTCATATACAGAGCAATGATTTAATAAACAGAACACTAACAACATACATAGAACACAGAACACACACAACATACATAGAACACATAACACACACAACATACATCGAACACAGAACACATACAACATACATAGAACAAAGAACACACACAACATGCATGTACATAGGACACAGAACACACACAACATACATACAACATAGAA